CACAAGAACCGGAAATCCTGTGACATAGTGAATATGTGCACGAGAAAGCAATCAATGGACTATTTTGTTCTGGGTAAGTCATCTACTTCTATTCTTGACCAAATGACAAGAAAAACTCACAGCCTACTAAGATTTGGTGACACAAATAATATATGAATAAAGCAGTTTTGTTTTGAATCATGAAGGACTTTTTACTGTGGAAACCTTGCTTGCTTGCTTGAGCTAGCTAGCAAAAGTGAGTAGTTCACGAGAGAAGGCAATGTTCGGAAATAACCAAACTACATTTACAGTCTTGGGGAAGTGGATATCCAGCACTGAATTTAAGGTTGTCTGCTAGAAATCAACTCAAGTTTGTGAACAGTTGAACATTCTTTTCAATGAACATCAAAGCAAAGACTTGCACAAGAGACAAATACTCTTTATACAGCTCAGTTTGTTCACATCTATGTAGCCGGAGCTTATGCATCCTGAGTCAGCGATATGACTTCCTCAAGTACAAGGTAACCAGCAGCTATAGCATTCTTCCATCCAATAGGGTGTGTGTGGGGTTTTTTTAATTACAAATTTGTTCATAGTTTTTATTAAATCTTAACCACAAGGTAATTACATAAGTGGGTTAACTGAAAAAGTTGACAAAAATGAAGGAAAAATATATTTTATTCTTCTGTCATGAAAGCCAATGATTATCCTAGGTAGACTGCTGATCTAGGTACTAACTTGATGTAGCACGTGAAGCTGTTTTTTGTGTTTGGGTTGCAAAGTTCAAACAGGGAATTTGTGTATCTCCCAATTCTAAGAAAAGTAGGCTAGACTTGCATCTGACGCTCCTGCATTTTACCATGGCGAAAATGCAGTGAAGTTCTTCATTTCAGATATTATACCAGAAGTTAAAATAGATACGCTTATGGCACTCATTCAGTTGCTATCCCATGCACCTAAGTACTGTGTAAAAAACATACCTTTACAGTTAAAGGGTTAAATTGGGGCTAAATGAAAATAACACTGAGATCAAAATAACTGTAAGTGGCAGAATAAAACTGGAGTCTGTCCTAGAGATGGGTTTTGATGAAGCACTAGCATATCTGATAATATGAGCAGGAAAATCTGAAGAAAACATTACTGTTCAGGGCGTCAGCCACTAATGGTCAATGGATAATACTTTCTTGTATTTTCATTATTGTATACAGGAAACTTACAGCAATTCTAAATTAATCTCTATTACTCTACAAGATGGTTTACAAATTCCCTTAAAATAATAAAATCAAAATTATCCATCCCTTCGTCAACTAACTTTATAAGGCAGCCAATACTGTAATGCATATACCTGATTATGTAACTAAATAGAAGGTTCTGTGTTGAAAGGGCATCTGAAGTGCATTAAACAATATTTTAAACAATATTTCAGTTGTTCTTCAGACACCTACTCAAGCATGGATAGGAACAAAATTTCGCTCCAGTTTTGCATTAAACTGTGACAATCATGCTGCAATATAAATATGCTTCACAATGGACATATCTGTCTAGTCAAATCTCTTTAATGTCATCTCTGAACTCTGGATTAGATTTTTTGGGTGGGGTCTTGCCATAATTGGTGATTTATGTTATGCTGAACAACCAACTCAGTATTTTAGATAATTGAATTGGATCAAGATCAGAGCATTCACAACGCTGCCCAGAAGATAGAGAGAGAAAGAGAGTGCGCGAGCAAGCGAGTGCGTGCGCATACCATTGATTTCCACAGCAAGGGATGACTTCAAAATCAGCTACACCTCTACCAGTATCTGTGTTGTGACTGAAAAACTGCACAGCTTTCAGAATCCTGATTGGTAAAAAGTTGAAGACAGAGAAATAAGAGCTCTTAATTTTTCTGCCCTTCTGTCTCAATCAGTTCAATAAATTCTGTTTCCTACTCCAAAATTCTATTCCCCACAAAACAGTCTGCAGAAGAGACTTCAATGGGATAATCTGTTCTAAAGCTAGCCTATCTCTGTATTGATAAAGACATGACCAAAAGTTGCATCCATGCACATTTCTTTGAAAGAAGCTTTCAACGACTATTGATGTTTGCATATAACACCTCCATGTTAACTGTGCTCAGTTGCTTTTCTAACATAAGAAGTGTCTGCCCGATAGAGTTGACAAACCAGATTGTCAAAGGCACTGAATTAAAATGAATTGGTCTGAACAAGCTTTGCAAACATCCTAACAAGTCTAGTATTTGCCCCTACTCAGAAAATTTGCAGGAGATTGATGGACTTATTCACTTCTTCCTGACCCACCAGCTCTTTCTGTCTCCTTGTTTAGGGGCTGCATCTTTCTACTAAATGAGCCAGCACAAATCTTCCTACAACTTTCCTCGGAAGCTCCCGGCTTTATTTTAGTTTGTTCATCTATTTGAGTCCCAGTCTTTGAAATAATTGATTCAGATGTCTGATAGAACTTAAAAGCCAAACAAATTTTAATCTTTTTAATTTACTAATTCAGTTGCAACAAAAAAATAATTTCATTGAAATATTGTACCTAGAACTTCTGAAACAATCATATAGTAGTAGTTGTTATTGTCCAGGGTCAATTTGCAATAGATTTGGGAGCCTTCTTTCCTAAAAAAAGGAACAATTCCTGCTATTTTCCCAGCATCATGCCTTGTTGCTATGATTAATTACATTTTGCAACCAAAATAGTACTGTTAGTGATACGTTTACATATTATTTAATATAAATAAGATCATATAAGGACATGAGCAGCTAAAGATGGGAGGGAGAGCAGAAGTAAAATTCTGCTATGTGGATGTCTGATTTTTATAAAGAAAATAAATACCTCACTGAGTTTCAGCTCAGGGATGTATATTCACAGATGATCTGAAAGCAAACCTTTAAGGCACCATTGACCATTCATGGGTATCATTTTGTCAAGGCATTTCTATTTCAATCAATAATTTTCCCTAAAATATTGTGTTAAGTCTAGTACCATTTCTAAGGCACCAAGCTGAAGGGACAATGAATTCTACAACCCCTAAAGAATGCTATAATCCTCCCGGAAATGTAATGTCTATTATACCATATTGCCATAATGAAATAATTATACAAAAAATGAAGAAAATGAGTCCTACTTATGGATTTACTCAGAGGGATTACTGACACAGATACGACAAAGCTGACAGTCTACCATGAAGTTCCATTTGTGTCCATAACTCTCAAGTCATAATTAAAATGGTGCCATTTATGTCACAGTTGGCCTACTGTGGAGAATTAATCCCCATAGCATTAGGTAACTGAAATATTTCATCCTCAGAACCAGCTATTTGAGCACAGACAGACATTTTTATGTTGCACTTTTTCATCAGGCCTACTGGCAACTGTCTCTTGTTTCGACATTATACTTTTTACTCAAGCAAAATAAAATTCACTGGTACTTTTTTCAGAAGTCACAGGCTACAGCACTGAGTTCTTCTGCATTTATACCAACCAAGAGATCAATGTCTTAAAATGTGATCTTACAATCAGAAAATTACATTTTTAAATATTCCGCATTTGTTACTTCATCAGCTCTCTGATTGCTGTTTTAATTACACTGCATTTGCTAAATTATTTGCCTGTTATTTTATTTATAAATGAATTTACTAGAAACAAGCAGAATGAATCTAACTTTGAGACACCTCTTTACTTTCTAGTTATTTTTCCTCAATCTGATTCAATTATCTCTCTCTCTCTCTCTCTCTTTTAGTTAGTTAAACTTCTCCCAAGGGTCCAGCAAGCCAAGTGAGAAGACATACACTTGGCATATGCCCACTTACTTGGAAAAGCCCTACTCAAAGCCGTGAATTCACTTTCACAAAAACATGCATTTAATTTCCAATCTGTTTTAATTACATTTTATCTGCATTTTACCATATATTTATGGAGGAGATGGGGAAAGAAAAATTTACATGCAGAGAAATTCCACACGCATTAGCCCGACATTCAGTTTTGGAAACAGCAGTGAATGCATTGGGAGCAGGGGAAATACTGGCTTTTTCCTGTTCCTTCTCATAGACTACAACTGTATAGGATTAACCACACCAGTACATGGCCATTTCTATGAATCTGTTGAGGAACTGAATATCTGTGCCTGCCTCTTTTTTGAGGACTGGACTGGCAAAATACCTGTAATTGTGGAGCTTTCTGCCAGCATGTGTCAAGGTGAGGAGTGTTCCTACCTTTGTACTGTATTTATGCCAACAGCATATTAAATATACAAGAAAGTGTCCTGCTTTTCTGTAGTTTCAGAGACAGAACCTGCACAACTTTTACCAAGGAACCATAAAGCACTTAAAATCACACAAGTACAAATTAAAATCACTTTTGGATGCAACAGACCTATTTGTGAATTTTCTTTCCCAAGGAGAAATTACTCCATGTTAGGAGTTCCTTATTTTTTCTATATAGAACGAATACTTCACTTACTGTACTTACTGATTTATTTTCTCTCTGCACATTCTTCTGTTTCCTTAATCTAATTTCCAAAGTTATTGTTTTTTAAAGTTGTAGTCTATTATAATTCATTTATACTGCTACATTCATTACTGTGAAGCATTGAACAAGTATTTACAGACAGATATCATTGTGATACCAAAATGTTGCTAGAGAGAGAGAGAGAGAGAGAGAGAGAGAGAGAAAAACTTTAAAAGAGAGAGTAAAATTTCTTGTACCACAAAGTTCTGCCAATGTATACTGAAAAGCTTTCTTTCTCCATCTACTGTTTGGAACCAGATTAAGATACCCATGTTTCCCATAAATTGCATTACTAGCATCACTACCAAATTACACAGCCTGCAGCAGTTATACGAAAACCTGGAAATAAAAAACAGGATCTAAAACAGTAGGGAGGTGGTTAATAATAAGCTGCCATGAAAATACTTTAAAAGAAAACAATACAAATCCTTTAAGCTTCTTAGTTGATTGAATATAATGAATAAATTAAGAAACAGCAAGACAGAAACATGGGAAACAAAATTCACTTACATATGATGTAATAATCTTTGTTTCTCTGAAATTCCAGGCCCCAAAGGTTAGGGCTGAACTCTTGAAACTTGATGGTAAACTTAACATCTTGATCAGGCTTGGCACAGTTGAGTAGAGGTGTGTTGTCCTTTTTAATAGTGCAGCTATCTGCTTGGTCTTTATCAACCATATAAACTTTATAGTACTCATACTGGCCACCAGTTTTAGAGTCCACCTTTGGGCATATAATATCCAGTTTGTCTCCTATCTTTGGGTATAGTACCAGTCCTTGTCCAGGATGGAATCTAAAAGAATAAGGAAAAAATGGCAAAAGTGAGACATTTGATAAAAGGCCTCGTTTGAGACATGTCACTTTTCAAAAGGAAGGGGAAGCAGAAAGGAACAAATACAGTTTGGAAAACAATGAAAAATGGTCTAGGCCAGGAATGACAATATTTAAGAGCAATGGGAAGGCTCCCCCACCCCCCACCAACAAATCTGCTTTGGCAGCAAGATAATGGATCAAAAGAAGCAGATGTGAAGAGAGAGCAGGGATGCGCACAGAAAAGCGATACTGCAGGGGATGAAAGTCTTCTCCCCACCATTTTAAAAGAAAAACACCTGGCAAATTAAGAAGAGACTGTTCTCCATAGTGAGACATTTCAGGTGGAAGGTGGTGTTGCTGTGTCTAATATAAATGTTCATGAAATACAATGGCCGCTGGTATCAACATGGGTTTTTTTTTTAATCTCTCAGACTGGCAATTATTTCATTAATTATAATCACATTAATATCCTGCCTTTTCTTCCCTTTGCAGGAAATCCAAGGTGGCATCTATCAATCTCCTCATTATTATATCCACTAGGCAAGGCTGCAAGTCTGTGAAGTAACCCATGGCTGAGAGGTCCTGCAACATCAGTGCTCTAATCATTACACTACACTGCCTCTTCACTGTGATGACATGGGGAATCTCTGGCTCTAAGGTATGTCACAGGCCCTAACCAATAGGGAGCTGTGATGGGTTTTGCTCGATTATGCATTATGTTTGGTTTCCAACTAGCAGAGGCACTGGCTGGCCCCTCCCTCTCTCAGGCTCCTACACTGACAGGCAGAAAACCAACATTTGACCTCCATTTTTGACAATGTCTTTCCAAGTTTTTGCTGATCCTTTAGGAAAGCTTAAACTATCACAAGAAAATCTTCTCCACTCCTCAAAACTGTAATTTTAATTCACTTCTTCTTCATAAAACATTAACTTCAGAATCAAATGGACAACTGAAATATTTCAAAGTATTTATTATTGCTACTATCAGTCAAGTAACTGCCCTTATTTTAAGGTACTGCCTTAGCAAATAAATGTTTAAAAATGGAAATAATTACTAGTAATATTGTTTCAACACAAAATTAAGATATGGTCCAGTAAGCAACAAAGGCTACTGCAATTTTTTTCTCTAAGATGCATGTGTTCAAATTAATGTCCGGAAGCTCATCTTTAAAGCTATGGATACAATATCCCTCTAATACCTACAGCGGAAAGCCGTTTTTTCCTTTTTTTAAATCATTCTTGCCAGCCATATTGCCATAAAGATCTGCCTTAACAGAAAATGTTTTTGAAGACTGAAACAATGTCTTTCTAATGAATAACTCTGCCCAACAGCTTGTGTGGGTGTGTTTGCGTTGGCTGGTGCCCCACTTTCTCTCTCTCACGCACACACATTCTCACGCACAGAAGCACATACACGCACAAATGCACATGGACATACAGATAAGTTTCATAATAAACATCTTAAAAAAGAATTCATTTATCTTGTGTTTGATTAAAGTAGTTCAGCAACTACCTAGCCTGTACCATAAGTAGAAGATGGGGGGGGGGGTGCGCCTTACTTATGAGCTAGACCTGTGCCTCAAGTTGCCTAAAAAATAGATATGGTACAGCAGATCTCCCAATTTTTTTGGCAGTTTCATTCAAAAGTATGACGAATGTGTCAGGTTTATCTTAACAAGGTTGGTGGCTTTCATTCAAAAGAACTGTAGCAAAGCAGGAGGCGGCCTGATAGCTAAGAAATGTTTTCAAATATATGCTTTAAAGGTGATGTAAAGAAAAGCATACATAAAAATATGTTTTCTAAGTCACCCACTGTGGTGGTGTTTACTTAAAAAACTATGAATTCATCACAAGACAGGCTTATAGTGCAGATGTGACTGTCCAAAATTTTACAATGGACAGTAATAAAAAAGCTATATAAAGCCTCAATTCAGAAGTCAGAAAGTTTATATATTTTAAATCCTTGGATGCATTATCTCAGGGATATATATCCTCTAATTGTTTTGGACTTCTTGGACTACTCAGAAGCCCTGACCATTACCCACGCTTCCTGGAGCTTATGAGAGTTATAATATAAATAACTCAAGGGCACCAGCTTGTCTACTTTCGTGTTATATTAAACAGGAATGACACTGAAAACAGATTCAACTTTAAATCCAAATTCTCTGACTTCATTGGCTCATTGTAGGGTACATAGGTCTGAAGATTTGTCTTATGTTAATGAGACTTCCCTATGAAGATCATAAGAGAGACAATGTGGCACAGTGGTTAAGAGGATGGGTCTAGGAGTCAGGCAATCTGGGTTCCAACTGCCACTCAGCCATGGAAACTGGGTAGCTTTGGGGCAGTCACAGACTCTCAGCACAACCTCCCTCACAGGGTTGTTGTTGTGGGGATAAGCATGACAATAGGAGGAAGAGAATGATGTAAGCTGCTTTGAGCTTATTGGGGGGAAAAAACAGGTCAGAAATCTAATAAATAAACAAACAAACAAACCATAGGCTAAACAAGATCAAACGATATTCCAAGTGGTGGTCCAGTGAGTAACTATGCAAATCACACCTGTCAGTTTCCCCTTTCACCCTTTCAAAACAACAAAAGCTCTTTATTCTCCAACATACATCAATCAAAGCATAACCAGCAAAAGAGTGTATGAGCAAGCAGAGTCTAGGAATTGCCTCTGAGAGCCCTCCTTTTGCCCTCCTTCCTGGGCCCCACACCTCTGGAGACAGTCCAACCTCTTGGCTATGCACTGCCCCTCTAGCTGGCTGGCCCTTCTCACCTGACACTGCACCATGGGGTCAAGGATAGGATTGGGCTCATCTGGCTCCTGTTCCATGCCCCCTCCAGGCAGGTGCAGACTGTGGCTATTCTCCACCTGAACAGCTGGAGAGGGCGGCCTAGAGATAATCCCTCCGGCGTCCTCCATCTCGAAATCCAGAGGCCGTTTCCCAGGGCTCATCCTATTCCCCCTCCAAATAGTCCCAGTCTCCCTGACCTTGAAATGCACACCAAGAACAACTGCCTCTTTCATTCTCAACAACACCCAGCACGCACTGCCACAGCTTGCTTAGCTTATGATGGTTCAAAAAGGCCCATTGGCTACTAGATGCCCCGTACATCATCCCTGCAAGAGGACATGGGCTGCATACCAATTTAAGCCATTTTGCTTGTCCGTAATCCAGCCAGGTTCCCTGGTTATGTATTAAAAGGTATACAATGAGGTGTAAGCCCTACAGCTAATTAAAACCTCTGGTTCAAGCAAAAGTGTAACTAATACAAAATATTAAAAGTCTTCCAATTTTCTGCCTGGTGCCAAACCAATGTTGCCAAAGTCATGTTCTCTAAAGAGTTCAGCTTGAAGCTTCACTACAAGGATAGCTTAATTATGCCCACAGCAGTTGGATGTCTTCAGGAGCAAAGGCATGCCATGCAAAGCACCAAATCCAAATGCAGAAAACTGTGCTATAAAAGCAGCCATCCAGCTGTTTTTCTGTCCTTGCACTGCAGATTTTTAGTCAAACAAGAAGCTACTGAAATTAAACAGGACACAAGCAAGGAACACTATATTGTTAACCCCCGTGCACACACATGTGAAGGAGCCTGATTAGCTTAACTAATGTTATTTAGTTCTAGCTTAAGTAACCCTATTTGCTTTTGTAAAAAGCTGCTTGCTTAGCTCAGTTAACGCCATTTGCTTTCTGTATAACTGCTTGCTTTGGAGAAAGAAAAAGGGGAGGCAAAAGAATGTTAGGCAAAAGAATGTTAGGCAAAAGAATGTTGATAAGGTAAGATAAGGGTAGTGTGAAGAGGAGGACCCCCAAAACAAAGGGCTCCCTCTCCCTACAGCCCTCTCCCTACGCAAGGCCTGACACACTGTGATCACGCTCCCCCTGTGAGGGGATTGGACGTAGATAAGCACCTGCACGAGGACAGGCATGCAGTGGACATGCAGACCCCGTAAGGGGATTGGGCAAAGGGTCAGGCAGACTCTGGGAGGTGATTGGATGAGGGAACAATGGGGGTGAGACTGTGTGAGAAAAAAAGGAAAAAGAAAAGCTATAAGAAGGATGTGTTGATGGAATGTGGTGTGTTGCTTCTTGCCTGTGTACTGGGAGGCTGACACCTGGTTGCTTTTCTCAGCTGAATAAAAGAATCAAATGAATCTCCGCCTTGCTGAACCTTATTGGCATTTGGTTTAGGGGTCTGTAAGTCACCTGGCTAGCAGGGACATCAACACATGCATGATAAAGTAGACAGAGAACATATTACTTTTAGGGCTAGCATACATGAGCAGATGGACCTGATGAACAAAATTGGTTTTAATCTCTCTTTGTCTGCCTTAGCCGCCCTTCTCATGGCTGCTACAGCAGAAAATATGGAGCTGCATATGGCTGCTAGGATCCATTCCAGCAGCCAAGAGGCACAGCCTGATGGCACCTTTTGCCTAAGCAAAGCCAGCTTTTACGCTGACGTACTGGGGCAAGCAATTTGAACACGAGATACATGGTCCAAAAACAGCTTCCAATTTACTTTTAATCTAAAAAGGTTCACCTTACTCCTAAAAAGTCAGGTGGAAAAGCAGCATTTTAAACTTGAAATCCACATGATGAATTAGTATTTCAATTTTTAACTAGTATTTTAAAACAAGGCCTTTGCCTTTGTCAAAGCTTGTATTTGAACAACACACTCTATAAACACTGTAATTACATGAAAGCTTTGTTACAGGCATGCCCGCATGGCCCTCATCCTAATTTCAAGGAGCAGATGAGGGAGCGGGAAGTGGGACGGCATCAATGGGTTGTGGTCCCCAGCCCCCAAGCATTTGGAGCTAGGGACAAAGAAGCCGCAGGCTGAACACAGGACTGGCATCCACATCTCTAAGGGCATGTCCACCAGCATCATCACTGGCATTACTAGCAGGCACATTACTGAGGGCATGGCAGTGGGTAGAATCCTGCTCCCATCTCCTTTTTATTG